TTTATGCGTTATTTCTGACATTTCTCATATGTGTATTATATGGTTTATAAGACGTATATACTATCTGTCATCGCGGTGACAGGTTGTGTTCACTGACAACACGTTAAATAAAAATAACAATAACGTGCGCGTAGCGCGCGCCTGTGTTGTGCTAGTAATAAAAAATATAAATAAGATAAAACTTAGGATTACAGTATGTTGTAAAAGTAACTAATTCGTATATTTGTTTATATAGAAAAAGAGAGAGATTAATACATTGATGTAATTTATTATTGTTACAGACTTTTTGCTTTTATAAGTCAATAAATGTTGTGTCTCGGAACGTTTTGCCTCGGAAATGCGCACTCATGTAAGAAGAACCAAAGAGACGTTAATTCTCTGTAGTGGTGTGCTTACAAATTTATAAACATTCAAGATTTATGCACACTCTAGCGGTCTATATTGCAGAAGCTATTCATACGTAGTACAGCTGTGAATGGTGCTCATCTCTTTGAGTGCATAAGATCTGAATACTTTGAAGACGCACCGTAATCTGAAGTAGACGAAAAACAGAAGAGGGATGAGAAAAGAGCGGAAAGACATGATTAAACTCTCGTACATCGCGTATATTTTTTTCTTTCTTTGAGAAAAAACCGATTTGACTCGCCTTATGTGCAATATTCATTTGCGACAGTGTAGCCCGTAGAGGTTTCTGCCTGGTAATTAAGGCACTGATTCATTAGTCATTCGAATTCGATTCCGGACGGCTGAGCACACGGGAAATGGCCTCCGTACGATTTTCGATAGGGCTGTGGATCTGTTGTCTCGACATTCGCGCGTGTATTGTTGCTTTGGAGTAGCCCATTAGGTTAGTCATTAGCTGTTAATGGTAGCTCATGAACTCAGATCGATTGGACGCGATCGATTGACTACAACCGCGCTTACTGAAGCATCGTGTTTCCAGACCGTGCAAGAATCGTGCATTTCTCTTCTTGATTCCGTCGTTGAAGAGAAATGTACGACATTACATCTCGTCTTTTGAACAATTTTGTGTCTATAAGGAAGGATAATCAAATTCCTCTCGTTAGATGATAATATCGTACTGATATTGATTCACGCGAATCTCTCGAACTCGCGCGCGTATAAGATCGCACGCATAAAACGATTTTACAATGTCGTTTCTTTTGAACGAGTTCGGAAACTTCAGATCACCTGATCGATAGAAGTCGCCATTAAAAGAAAAAGAGAGAGAGATCATTTATATCTTCTCAGATGTGAGGTTAAAATGATCGTAAAAGTCGGCTATGTTTTTAGCGAATCTCGCAATTGATCGATTCGCGCATTTCGAAGCGCTGCATTATTAGAATGCAACGTTCAGAATTATTTTTCAAGATATTTATCTTCGTAAAACGGTAAATTAAAAAATTCGAAAAAGACATCTTCAGACCACAAGCCGAACCGAGACCTTTTACAAAATCTGTTGTATGTTTGCGTTTTATATTTATGTTAATAATTGTTATTGATGTGAAGCGCTGGAATATGCTGGAATTTTTGGAGACAGCCGCATTTTGTTTGCTGGATATAAAACGGGCATAACGGTATGCTTGGCGGCATGTGGCACGACAAGTATTAAGCTCAGTAATGGCCGCTGGCGGATTTGTAAATTCGAGCAACGGATTTAATGCGGTGCGTCGTGAATGCACGCATTGTGTAGCAAACAGCGGCTGATGTCGTCTAAATCCCCTCGTATTCTGCCTGAGCTTTTTATATTACACGAGAGGGGTATCTCTTAATCACTTTTTCTCGCATTATCCAAAAAACATTGCGAGTCTTATCATTGTTACAGTGGATTACCCATTACCGCATTCTGGGACATCACTTTATCTCAATGTTAATTATAAGTGCGCGGCATGCACAAATTTCATAAATATTAATGGAACAGTTTCGGTGAAGAACTTTTTCTCGTTTATATTTGTGCCGTAATGGCAATTAAAACTAAAGTAAATAGAAATAATAAATTACATTAAAAAAGGAGTATAGATTTTAATCGTCATTATTTAAAACATAATAGCCAGACTTTTTCTCAGTCTTGACGTGCATAAGTGTAGACTGTTCGAGAACAATTTTTAAAATATAAAAAGTAGGTACTTGTGCAGAAATTCGACCAGTGAAAATTTGCAGTGGCCCAAAGATCAGTTAATGGCTTCCATTAATGGAAGCAACTTGCTTTCTTATTCTGTAATTTGAGTGTCGATAGTCGATAAAAAAAAGTGAAACAGAAAGCAAACGTCTCTGAAGTGTCTATTAAAAAATCCCGCTGAATATTAACGCGACGAAAACGTTTTTTGACGCCACGGCGCGGAAATTAATGAAACGATTATTAAAATATGCAATATGTCGGTTTAATTAGTCCGACGACGGAATGAAAAAGGCGTGTATCTCGCTGCTGGCCTTGCTCAACATCTTTCCCGGTTCTAAAAATATCGCGAACTTCAGCAATTTCGCCGCATTACCTGGCTTAATTTACGCGACGAATCAAGTTGACTCTAATACTTTTTTTTATCGTTGTATTTTATAAATTACCTTTTTATCAGAAACATTTAATGATGAGATTTTTTAAACGTTTGAAGAAAAAACGCAACGGTTAAAAGATAATAAGCTTTCCTTGCTTAGATTTCGCAATTCTTTTGTAATTAAAACTTGAGAAGAAAATTTCAAGATTAATATAGATAGTTTATATACATATATAGGCATTTTACAATTTTTATGAGATAAATATAAAGAAAGTAAGAATTCTATAATTTCAAGATGTATACGCATAACATATGTGTGTGTATAAGTTATTATTTAATCTTTCTCTCTCTATCTCTCTCTTTTCTAGTATATATATCCATTAAATAATATTTTATCCATTAAATGATATTTCTACATTATTAAAATTAAATTACATGTTTTATCGCCAAATACATTACTATGACATTTTATATTGCTAAAATTACATAAATTACATTATTTTTATTTACGTTTCTGAGATTTATTACACCTCCATCCACTCTAATAATAAAATAATAAATAAAATAATACAAAGTCAAATAAACTATAGAGATTAATTTTTCACTTCATCATTTTCTGTAGACAGAACAAACGATTAAAAAAAACGGAAATGTGTCTCGCTTCGTATCAGTAACTCGGACGTTACAATTCCCTTTTTTCATATACAACGCGCAAAATACACACGGAGGTAGGAATAACAACGGATTTTGCTAACAACAGTGGGATTAATGCGGCGCTAAAAGAACGAATGAGAAAAAGCGAGTCGCGCGATGCATCGCGTGCGCGCAAAAGCGCGAAAAAAGCCACTCCCGCGGCCACTTGTGCGAAGATGCTTCTCATTTACCGCGGACAATTAGCGGCGCGACAACGCGGGCATGCACGGGCGCTGTAACGATAACGAGAAATCCTCTCGCCGTCCTCGGATGAAATCTCGTCGTAGGCAAAACAGACGAGAGAATTCGTCGCCGAAATTTCACGTTGCCGCGTCGGGGCGAGACTCGTTTACGTAACCGCTTGTCGTAAGAGCGTTGTAATTCAACGATCCTTCTTACGATCCTAAGCGCGTTTGTGCGGCGAAGCAAACGCACGTGAGATCACGCGCGGCATTGCACACATCCTTCTCACATCGACATCACAGATTTTTCTCCACAGATTTCCTAGATTCACGTTCCCGTGAGGCAACATCGCCACATTTTCGCACTCTCTCACACAGTCTGACTGATCTATTGTACATAACGCGATCGCTTAATAATTATTCTCGCTCGGTGTCATTACGAAAATCTAGATTTTACGTCTCGATCCACATCATCTCGCGGCAGTTAAGTTGTGAAGCAACTTTCGGAATGTGCCGAGATATACTCAAGTAAAAGCGATCGTCGTCACGTGGGAGACGCAAAGCATCATTTATATTTTTGAAATCTATATTTGTGATTAAGATTACCGAAATGACTGAAGAGTTTGGCGGTATTTTTACGTAATATTGTGATGAAATGGACTTTTGTCGCGTCTCACGTAATTTTTTCAATTATAATTAATAAATCAATGTATGACATGTGTATATATATATATATGTAAAAGCTTTCTTTTGTGATTTCACAATTTACGCATATATTTGCTGTAGTATTGACAACCTTGATAAAATTTATTTGCACAAAAAATTTCAGAAAAAATTTAATACATAAAATCATTGCCTAAAGAAAAAACAAGTGTATTAGAAACTTTGCAAAGTAAATTTAACAAGTTACATATGTATTGTGCTAACATCAGTCTACAAACACAGTCATGCTTTTTCAAAGAAGAAAACGCAATCACATTTCCGCATTGCGGAATATAAATGTCTCGCATTCCGTAAACGATAAACAAGTTATAATTTGATACAAATACTTCTGCAAATACTCAACATTCTATAATGCTTATAAATATATATATATATATTATTTATATCGCTTATATTTATTTTAATATTAGTCGACGACGCTGTTTTTTGCGTGAATATATACAAACGAGAAAACGTATGTATAAAGCACGTAAAAACACACACGTTTTTATTTCTTCCGCGTTGTGTAATTGCAAGAACTGCAGAAGTCCTCGGTCGCCCGATACAATTGCGGTTTTCCTAGTAAGCACGTGGTTGGAGAAACCGATTACACGCCGTCGATTAAAAAGATACTACGGTAGCGGTTGGAGGAAAAAAGAAACGCCATAGAATTTCACTTCGTGTTTTCTGTTTCTTTCCGTAATTAGACGCGGACTCGACCAATGCGGATTAATTTCCGTTACACTAACTTGGATATGTAATTGTTGTTGTTTAGAATTGTTAACCACAAATTTTAATAAGAAATAATTAAACGCCGTTGACACTTCAATATATTCTCTATTAATATAAATTATAATAAAAGTTATTTTGTCATCAATTTTGCTTAAACACATCAGTATCAGTATTAATAGCTTTTCTATTTTCTCTGCAGACGACTGTCCAAACTGCGTGGACGAACACAGCAACAACTTGGCGGCCTCAAGATGGACGATGCCTCTGCTGAAACTGGGCGAGAAGAGATACTACCTGGGGATCTTCTTCAAGGTATCGCTCTTGCCAGTTACGCTGATTTATCTGACCGAACTGTCGACCCGACCTGGGTCTCGGACTTTATCAAATTATTTCCGAGCTCGTAACTTTCCCGTTGGCTTTACCGCCACGGACAGTTTTACGGTGCATCGAATGCCAGGGAATCAGCGTGGTGAAGATCTTTTTGGATAAGAACAGTGTTGCTTGAGGCAAAGAAGCTCGTCTGATAAGAGAAAGTGGATGAAATACGCCACAAAGAAATGCACTGCCTGACGCGCAAAAAAAGAATGGTTTTTTTTAACAAAAGCTGCGTTATCACGCGTATAATCATATGAAACTTTTATATCAGCATTTAATGTAGACCGCAATACAATACATTTTTTTGTTTAATATGTTTCTCAGAGCATTTATAAAACTGTTTTTTTTTTTTTTTTTTTACACACGAGTTATCGAAGCGTTAATCGCTACAAGTTTGAAGAATAAAAGAATTTTGCGCTTTAACGCACGTAAATAAATAAATTTATAAATGCTAATTAATTCTCTGCTAGAATTTTGCAATCGCTGAATGGCGCATAAATCACAACAATTTTACAGGGCGATGCTGATCTCATGCGAGCTCTATCTCTTTCAAGAGCGACATTCCTGGTTCTGACGTGTCTGTAACACGTGTTCGTCCGTGCCGCGAACACAATCGTATCGATTAGACCTGCCCTTATTACGCTTTCCCGGCTAACCCAGGCGCTTTTATTGACTCACGCGCTATTAACACGGATTTCGCAATTCCACCGCCATTACGGATCCGGAGCAGCTTCGCCGTGTGCTCCGCTGCCAGTGGGTGGACGTGACGTAAAGGCGCTTGTTCAAGCGAGCTTTTCGCAACGAAAGCGCGAGGAAGTGACATCTCTCTCTCTCTCTCTCTCTCTCTCTCTCTCTCTCTCTCTCTCTCTTCTTTCCTCTTGACCGTTTCCTTTAATCGGATCACGACGAGGCCCCTCTTCATTTCGCAAGCAAATAATGGTTGTGGGCGCTCCGGTCGTTAATCGAGACCTTGCAAAACAACCTCACTTGTCGCCGGGCGGTGACCGACTTTCCGTAAATTGACGAGGGAAACGACGAATTTCGGAGTTCTCGATGGCGATCGAAGGACGTTGTGTCTCCCTCGTTCTACGTCGAAGAACTTATTTAAGTTAGGAAAGGAGGCGGATCGCGGGGTGAAAGTCAAGTTCCTGGGTCGTCGTGCCACTTGTTCTCGCGCTCTAATTAATTCGCGGTACTTGATATGCATAGCGCTCGCAATGAAACGCGTCGCTCAAGCGTGTGTTTAGAGCAAGGTGTATTGATCTCGGGATATTGCATTGTGCACGGAATACCAGTTGACCGATCAAAGTGGCCGGTATCCGATTGCAATTCCAAGCTGTGCTAAGTCTTCGCGCGACATTACCGTCTTTACCTTTGCAATTAGAAGGAGAAATCGAATTTTGACTCTCTCGTCGGGAAAACGCGAACGGTACCGATCGGCTTTACAAAATATCATCTTTTTCCAATGTTTTGTTATTGCTTCTCCAATTCTCATTTGCATTTCGTTTTTCTTTTCTCAGACCCGAAAAAGTATTTAAACGGGAGTGAGGAGAGAGAACAGAAAAAAGCCAATAACTTGTCAGCGATCGTCACGTACGATTGCTGTTTCGTTTAGGGAACACAGCAAAACTTAAACGAACCACGTCGTGCACGAGTAACGACGGTTTCGTGCCGATCTGGAGAACGCTGTGCAGAGAGAAAGAGAGAACGAGCATGCAATCGCGACGGCTCTCTATTTATTGCACTTTATTTGCATTCCTGGCGGGATACACGCAATTTTTCGCGTCCTTCGCGTTCCTTCGTCTGCCCCCGTGCACATTCTTTCAGTCAGATCGCCGAAAGGGTGCCGAGAAAGTAAAATTCGTCACCATCGGAAAACGCAAGAGACGTATAACACTGCATTTTTTTTTTTTTTAAACAAATGTGTTTTCACGCGGTTAAATGTGGAAAAGCTACAACACGTTTTAACACAATATTATATAATTTAATATCAATTTAACTAACCCATCTTGTTATCGTGATATTTTACTGAAGGCGACGCCGCGCGCCGAGTTATCAAAATATAGTAGCTGTATCAAAGGTCGTGGAGCTCTGTGTGCTCAAGCTCAAGTGCGACGTAGTTTGCTGCATAAACGTTTCACAACAGCCGTATTGTTGTTCTCACCGGAATTCCAAGCGGATAATCCAGTCTCTCGGTGAACGCGCGTATTATATGCGTTTTAATTATGCAGATAAGAAGCTTTGAAGACCACACGAATATTCGCGTGGCCGCACGCGCGCGAGCTATATTCTCTGTGACTTTCTATCCCCGTAGTCCCCTGATATTGTGATTAAACCTTTGCGTTATCGCGAAGAGAAACGTGCTATCAAGAAACGTTATAAATATTTAGAAGCGGATACCCAATACGTGCGCAATGTGTGATAACCGCGAAGGCAGCTTCGCGCTTAAACAGGTAGCTAAAGCGTGTGAGCGACGATACAGCACCATGCTGTCAGAAAGTTTTTAACGATCGTAAAAGACTATTGCCAACGAACCCGTCGCGGTTCTATAACGGTCATAAAAAGCACGGTACTGCAGCGCGAATGACCAAAGTTATATGTATATACACACACACACGCACGTAGCCGATATGTCGACACGTAATGTCGTATATAATATCGAAATATCAAAATATTGTATGAATTCGCTCGTATTTTCGTTGGATTTCTCCGAAGTGCGTAAAATATAACGTTACGCACAAGATATCGGCGAAAATATTTGTGTTGTTATAAAATGGCTCGAGATGGATTTTGCATGGAATTAATAATTTGTGAATGAGGAGAAAATATGTACAATATTTACAGGTATGTACAATATTTACGGATGTACACATTTTATGCGATACACGTACATACCTGTGTCAAGAATATTTTCACGGAAGTAGCTTAAACCAAAATTCGAAAACGCGCGTTCAATATTTTTCAAACTTTTCGTGAAAACTCTCGTTTAAAATCTAGCAAAAGCAACGATCTCGCGTTACTCTTAATAATCTTTTTTGCAACGTGCGTACCACGATATTGATATAGAAAAAATTATTAATGGCACAGTTTTTACATTCGGAATTGTATTTCATCAAGACACGCTAGTTTGTGTCTCGAAACATTTAACAATGTAAATTTCAACAGTTCGAGATTTTCCCAAGCAAATTTCATTCACTTGAACATTTTGCTCGCCATGTTCGCGATTTTCAAGTAGTAACTCGCGTTGCATAATAGTTTGGATTATTGACACGTTGTGAACACAAGCTCCATTACGCGACAATAATATTCCAAACGCGGTCTCGAATATGATCTCCCGAAATCGATAGCAGAATGGCGATTATATGTAACCTTAGTGTGAATATTAATGTGCGCCCTACGTACAATGTGTTGTCAGTTATTAATGCTAATCAATCTGTTGTAATCAATGACAAGCTCACGTGTTACACGTGAATATTAAGGACTGGTTATGCGTATTCCATAATTTACTTACACGTAATTTGCCAACAGTTCAAACGTTTCTCTTTGCTGTAATTATCGTGTGGTGTTTAACAGTTTAAATTGTAACTCTCTCTTGCATAATCTCCTTTCCGCATAATCATTGTTTGAGGCTATTTGTGTGATCTATTGTTTAACATTGTTTATATTTCTTGCGTACATTATTTACACACTATGTTGTCATCACACATAATATTTCATACACATAACTATATACACATGTTACTTTTACACTCAATACGTAAATCGTGATAAGTCTTTGTCGTGAGCGATTATGATAAATAAAATTTCAAGTTCTATACATTTGATATTCGATGCTTTTGTACGTTATAAAAATTTCTGTGTGTGAAGATAACTTTCGGATTTAATTCTAACCGTCTTCAGGAAACTCTATACAGTATTTGAGAAACGTCCTGTCTAGATTTCAACGTTGAGCAATGTCAGGGTGAAACATTACCAAATCTTCTCTCTGCCCCACAGGCTAACTGGTACAGAGCCTCTCAGTACTGTCGTTATCACGGGATGCATCTGGCAAGTATAGCCTCGCAAGAGGAGAACGACAGACTCGAGAAGCATATCAAGGACTTTGGCCTCGGTCACGAGCACTTTTGGACTTCCGGCACCGACCAGGCCGAGGAGGGAACTTTCTTCTGGATGGCGAACGGCAGGCCGATCACGTTCGAGAACTGGAACGTTGGCGAACCGAACAATTTCCGGTAAGGGTGCCTTACACGAGCGATATATATCTCTTGCGAACAATTTACATTCCTTCTGATATCGATCGTGCCAATTCGCCTGCCGTTGCGATATGATTGACATAAATCGGATAATGCGGTGTTAGCTTGCTTCCTGACGAGCAAACGGTGGTTTACTTCTTATCGGCAAAGAAAGCAAGATCATGAGATTTCAAATACTTATGTCATTAAACGTACATTTAGTTTTTTTGTTTGACAAAAAAAGCGATTTGTCGCGCGAATCCCATATGATAGTATTTCTCGCACTTCAGATACGAGAACGGCGAGGAGGAGCACTGCCTGGAGCTGTGGAACAGAGATGGCAAAGGCCTCAAATGGAACGACAGTCCTTGCAGCTTCGAGACTTTCTTTGTCTGTGAAGTGCAGTGATCAATTTTATAAAACACAGGCTGAGAGAAGGACTAGCAAGCGCGAGAGTGTGTTGACACGGCGACCAAATCATTGACTCGCGGTGTGTCCTCGAAGATCACCTTGAGGAAGCTGCGTGTGACGTTTCTATCGGTCGTCCGTACGTCTCAGTGGACCTAGCCGGCATGGCAGAGAGGTTTGACGTGACATGTGCGCCCAGACTGAAAACGACGCGCGATTAGCCGGTCGCTACCGTTGTCACGTTTCGCGCGCTCGGGATTCGCGTGTGTGCGAAAACGACATCCGCTTCACAGTCAGTTCTTTTTCTAAAAGCGTCACCCAGGCAACGGAGCGCGAGCGTCGGATAAATCCGCAGTGAGAGAGGATAAAAGCGATTCGTTCATTTCTTGTGCAGAAACTGCTTCAGGGAAAAGTGTTTGTCGTCAAATTAAGCCACGTTCTTGGATTTTTTTTCATAATTAAAAGAGTCTTGTTTTAAGTATAAAAAAGCAAGTTTATATAATTAAACAACTTTACTTATATACGGATCACAAATTTTTTTAACGTTAGAAATGTTTTTATACGTTTGCAGTCCGGTAGATATTTTTGTGCGAATAGATTTTGCCGCTTCTGTCTCTCTTTTTTGTGTACGTACTCGTACGAATATTCCAAACTCACTGCGTATATCGACGCGCGAAATCTCTCTTGCAGTCGAAGGATTGATCGACTAATAAATTGTCACATATAAACATCGCCAGTTTTTTATTTTAAATATTTTATTTTAAATAAAGTATATGAAGAAATATATATAGTAGAGTATTAGTATATGTATATATTGACATTTTACTGTTGTAAATTATTCTTATGTTTGCGTATTGACTTGCGTTAATAATATTATACTCTCCTCTTTAAATTGGCATATAAGATACATATATACATTAGACAATTGCTAATCAATCTTTCGATTACAGAGAGTTTCTGACGCGTATAGTGTGTGATTAATATTAATTAATTCTCCAATGTGAAAACATAGTGATTAGTACCACGTAGAAATAGAACTTAACGCGCCGTTGTTGTCAATTATTCAATTGATTACGACTGATAAATATATATATATATAGTGCGCGAGAAATTATTTTTGTTTCAAATCGCACATATAACAATAATAATTTTTTTGCAGACATATTTGTAATACTAAATCAAATTAGTTTATTTAGTTAGAGATTCAAGAAATAAAAATAAATAAATTTGCCTATGTTACGCACAAAAAATTGTAGTTAATCAAGTCGAATTGCTCTCTTCGACATTTACTAACTACGACTTTACACAAGTGACTGCAAAAAAATTTCACTAAATGTTAATTTCTTCAAGTTTAACAAATATTATGCCATTATAGTAGCACTTATACACATGTATATACATCTTTAAACTGTATATATATTTACGCCGCACATGTGTACACACTAGTGACTTGCCGCGAGTAACGTTAGTAGAAATATGACCAAGCCAAAAGAGATGTACTGTTTCGCGATATGTAGGATGTCTGAAAAATTTGAACATAGTCAAAGTGTGAAGATAGATTGAGTGAATTTGAATAGAAAAATCATTTATCATTTTGCAAAATTTGCAATATTTATTGAGGTATTAATTAATTAATATGAACCAATGAGTGTGTGGGAAGCGATGGGTTTCGAATTCTGTAGGCGTGTATAATTTTCAAGTTTACCGCTGTGAAAATCAGCTGATCGCAAGAAGCTGTGTCACTTGTTTGTTGTCTTTCTAAAAAAAAGTCTTATTTAGAGTCCTAAATTTACAATTTAGGACTTTCTTCGAGATCTTATATGGATAAAAAGTTGTCTTATAATTTTTAGATTTGTTTGCGCTCTTCTTAAAAATGAAAATAGAAGTTTTATGATCTCTGATATTTGAAATCTTTAAATTTGATTCTAGAGACCTAATCTTTTAAAACAGACAATTAATTTCAGTGTCGATGCTAAAACCGAGCTGCATGTATGTGGATGAATATGGCTCATTCGACAGTATAACGGTCGCGATCTGCGATAATTCGGTCGCGGTGACAAACAAGCATCGTAATAGATTCCGCACCGACTATAGTTGGCCGTGATCTCACGAGAGATCGTTTTGTTGTGTTCTACGTATTCGCCTTGCAAAGAACATTTTCGAGAGCGGCGTTGTACATGGCATTATTTAGAACTAAATAATAAAATCAAAACTCTTGTTCTTTCCTTTGTGTTCGAACGTTTTACCGTTTTTGTCTATTAAAATTATATTTAGACACTAACAATCGGGATTCAATTACCTTTTATGATTCTTGTGTCTATTCTCCTTATTTGTTCAATAATAAAGAACGAATATAAAATGAATAACATGTATACATCTATTTTCATATTAAACGTATAATTTATGAAACTCTTGGCTTTGTGTATCTCCCTTTCAATTAATTAATTCGTTTATCATATTTTCAGGTAAATACCGCGTTGCATAATATTATTATTGCAGTTGTAAAATTACTTCAGTAAAATGCCTGTATTAAATCATTCGTGTTGAAAATGTGAACACTGTTGGTGATAGAAACATTATTAATATTAAATTACACGTACAATATATGAACCTAAAAAGTATCAGAAGTTTAGTAACAATTTTACTTTCTACTATGTTTTATTGATGCTTATGATATATTTATTCTACAATTTATAGTTGTTATCTATATCTTCTCTCAAAGGAAGTGAAATCATCAATCTGTTACAAAGATTATTTATTAGAAAAGATATGTAAAGTATATTAGTAAAAACGATTACACACACGTATTTTGTATGTGTACATGTGTTGTATATTGAGTAAGAAAGTTATAATCATTGTAACGATGCCGTAAATTGATAAGAAAAAAAAAACGAAAACTCCGGTTTAATGAAGAGAGCGATGTTATTATGGTTCCGTGCAAAACGAATCTTTCCGATCGACGTGAGCGGCGTTTCGGTGTTTCCGTCAGAGCTCCATTCCCACCTGGTTGTCCCACTTCCGTTTCTCCATCTGGATTGACAGAACCAATTAGTAGTTCTGTCGATTTTTCGCCATCTCTGGGAAAAAACAATACCCTTGAGAGAAAAGGAGCGAGTCGAAGGAAGAAGCATAGAATGGATTGAAAGGGTCGCTCGGTTCTAGACAGCAAGGAAGAAAAGAGTCAATGATGAGAATTACATCGCCGATACATAAAAATAACGTTACGCGAAACGTTTTCGCGTAATCGAGGAAAGATTTATAAATTCGAATATATAATTTTCGAGGAAAATTGTGATCTGATTCGATATCAAAATGCATATGGTATCAATAATAGTTTGAAGTGAAATCATCAAGTATGTTAAAATAAAAACTGCAAAAAAAGATAAAACAAATGAAGTATAAAATACATTTAAAAATAAAACATATTTAAAACAATCACTTTGTTGTTACATATGATATTTTGAATACCTTTGCTTCTATGATTGGCGCAACTACATAAAAATAAAGATCCGTTATTTTTTTCCCATTTGCTCTTTCTACAGAACTCGAACACACGTATAATAATTCTCATGTAGCGATAACATGGTCGTTCGCAAATCGGGTAAACATTTTTTGTATTTCAGTGACTTTATTCACACAAGTCGGCTGAATCCGCCGGCTAATCATCCCCGTTCAGTCGTTTTGTACAATACGAAAAAAACAAAAGAAAAAAAGAGAGACGCTACTTTACGTAAATTTAGATTCGGTTTATTCGCGCCATTGGGCCGTACACTGTAACAAGCAATTTATGCCACGGGACTTTATTTAGGTGGCAATAAATGCAGATTCGCCAGAGAAACGGGCCGGCGTGCCGTGGGGAGCCGTAAACAATGTACAGTACATGCAACAATGCAACACAGCAGAGGGTCGTTCTTGTTCTTTATAACCCGGACATATCGTAATACGATACACATGAAATCTTTAATGTGCGTCCGCTTGCGTGTCTGAGTTCTCAGATTTTTATCGGACCATTGCGCGATACCCTCGTAGTTTCACTTCTGTCGATTCCGTTGCGTAACAGACTCTCAATGTGTTATCAAAATATGGAAAAACAAACTTGTACTAACGTCATTTCTGTGCTATCTTGAAACAGCAATCTTAATTTGTGTGTGCTTCTGAAAAATTTTCTACGTAAGTACGAAATCATGTAAATAGCAATCACAAATCGCTATGGAATTTTGACGTTCCGTATTAAAAAAAATGCAAATTCTAAATGTAGTTCTTTTATTTGCATCTCACAGTAGTTTTATCATTTCTGATAAGTGGCACCAATAGTTGCTTTATATCAAAAACTTTCCAAGTAAAAAATGAACAGCTAAAGTTACTATGTACAAAAATTTCTTCAACGTCTACTTTATGAAATTTTCTAGTTCTCAAAAAGTTGTGTTTCTGATCAATTTTATTAACGTACAAGCTATGGTACACACATTTGTTTTTTTCACTATTTTATTTTCGAGCTGATTTTCTACGTAGGATATAAATCTGTAAGATGCTAGCCCTAATTTTCGACAGTTTCAATAAAAAAGGTTCAATAAAACGAAGTATACAGGTTTTGCAAAGTTACGATTTCTTAAACACTTTTTTTAAACTTTCTTTGCGCAAGCTTGACATTCTATTGAATTACTCAAAAATTTTGAAATATAATTTGACTATTTTTATAATCAGTTGCATCAAATTTACTCATATTTAAATAACAGACAGGAGAAAATATATATATTATAACTTATCTCTCTTTTTCTTTATTTTTAAAAGAAACTTTATTTTTTTCTCTTTGATGTATCGTTCACAGTTTGAATAACATATAGTATTTCTTTTATCCAAATATGTAACAACCTTAGAAATAAGCTTTGTAATAACAGCAAAAAAAAAAAAGTTCGACGTCATAAAAATATCTGAAAAACACTAAATTGACTAAATTATTTAGATATCTTTTAGATGTCTTTACGATATCTTTTAGACTTTTGTGTTGTCATGTTATTCACATACAATGATGTCGTGTTCTATTATGCCGATAATCTGTTGAACAAAACACAAACTCAGATATTACTCAGACATCATAAAAAAGCTAAAATATCTTAAAGATGTCTAAAAGACAATAAGATTTTTTTTTAATAAGTCTTTTAGTCGTATTTTAGAAACGTGTCTTGTCCTAGAAGTTTTATATCCGTCTTTAAGATGTCTTTTAGCCTTTCTCTGCTGTTTGAGTAATATCACAGCATACAGTCGAAAACAAAGTTAACTGTAATGCTTTCTGATAACATTTTGTCGGCATAGCAGAATGCGACAGCAAAACGCAAAACGCAACTAGTTCTAATCAGAGACTATGCTTTCAATTTTGTACATACATATACTTTGAATGATAAACAAAGTTAAACACAAATAAACAGATAATCAATACATCTCGTACGCATGATATTCATGATAAAATATGTTTTAAATAATGCTCTTCTTTTGTTTTCATATTAAGTTTAATATCAAGTAATCTATCAAGTAATCATATCAAGTAATTTATAAATTGACAGACCTGTTATCTACTATTGTAATTTTATATAAAAGAGTGAAATCAAGTAACAATTATAACACACACATGTCTTAAGAGATTGTTTTTTTTACATACATTATAATCTAAACAAGTTACAAAAATAGTATAAATATTTTTATACACACATATGTATAATATATTTTATTATTATCACCAGTTATAAAAAATGTATAGTTTTTATTTGCTACTAGTTTTCTGGTCGGGATATATATACTATAGATTAGGTGCAATTTACTTCAATGCTTTTTTCTAACCAAATTTAAACTTTATTTATAGATTACGCAAAAAAATATTATAATTATCAAAAAAAAAAAAAAAAAAATAATTTCTATTACTTTTATAAATTTAGTTCACTTTGCGGATAACTGTCAAATTCCATCGCGGGAATAATGTGGCGGTTTTGATTCAATGAAATTATTAATGAATTTTTTCACATCTTTGATAGATTTAAAGTGCATGTCACGCACTATAAAAATTACAAAATAATTTGTATGTTTAATTTGCTATTAAATAATACGTGATTTGTAAATAAGACTTTATTTTGAAAACAATACACGATTTGTCTTTGTATATCGTAGCATGCTTTTAATGTTTGTAATATATAGATAGCATAATACATATAGTAGTATTTATCATACGTAGTTTAGCTTTCAACAAAATAATGCTTTAGAAAACGCAGAAAAAAGAAAATGACTCAACAACTTAAATTGTAAATGATATAATATCAAGTATTACGACAATGCTGAAAAACTAAGTAATGATATAGTCTGAGTTACACCTTTTATTTTGTTATGTTGTAACTTATTACTAGCATCATAATGTAAGTATCACCATAACGATATTATATAAAGTACAAATTTTATAATATTCCACAACAACAAAATTGTAAGACTCGTCAACAAAGTGTAATGAGCGATCTTTAACCTGAAATAAAAAAACAAGTTCGTAAATATGTTCTCGCAATTGCACAGCAATAAAGACAAATATTTATAAAAAGACTGTAGCGCACGTTTGTCACTAATCGCTTTAGTATGTTAAACCGTTTTTAAAGTAATTACTGATGTATCAATTTGGCAACTCGACCAACCGTTGTTTGATTTACCAACTTGACGTTCATTAATCGCTCTAAGAACGGTTTAATTCGTTGCAATCTTACATGTAATAGCAATACTCACTTTCTATATTTTGCTTTTCCTTGCTCTATAGTGCTCAGCGGATCTTTAGCTAAGTAAACACGCAACCCAGGAATCATTGCAAGAGTACATGATTCCCAGTCAAGATCACTTAAATTGAAAGTAAATATTTGACGATCACTTAGACTCATACGATTCCAAAGCTTTACGACAGCGTCATTATAAAACTGCCACTCTTGAATCGTAAAGTATGATATTACAGTTTCGAATTTATGTATCTTTTTATAAGCCTTTATTAACCTGAAGAAGAATTGTCAATTCTGTGTTATAGCATACATAATAATATGTAGGAACTTTTTATTATTTCTTAGATTAATTTAATGAATTACTTACATGGGTTTCCGACCGATTAGAAAGAGTACTACGTCCACTATCAAAGCGGGAAACATGTGCAAAAAAATTTGGGCTAATCGATGAACAAATAAGTGTTTATTCAGAAAGAACATGTAGTACCACACGCAATATACGCTTGGTACAATGTTTTTGTTCTTTTGAAGGTAGTTCATAAAAATTTTCCAAGTAATGGGATTTTGGCACGACGATACATAATTGTACATCGGCACTCTTTCGGTTTCTTCCTCAATCTTTGGAGTTGTATTCTCGATACTAAGTAGAGTGTCTCTGATGAGAAAATACGACATATCGTCATTAACGATAGATGTATGTATTACAAACAATAGATATAAGAGTACGCATTCTATAATATGATATTATAAAATGAATGCAATGTACATATATACAGGATAAAAATTTTAATTTTAATTTTAACCAAGTCAAAATATGAAAATAGATTGATCAATCCGGACCGAAAAGCCATGTACTATTTTGCAACATTTGTTATAGTTAATGAGTTATTATACATATGACCCAATATGAGCGCGTGGAAAATGATGATCCGGACTTTGTAAGCGTGTATGATTGTCAGTTGTGAAAATCACATGATCGTAAGAAGCTGTGTCACACGCTTCATTACGTCTATCATATATAGTAATAACAAATTCGACGTGGTAAAACCTGAACGCAAACAAAATACGAGAGTGATTTGAAGAATAACTTGGTTTCATGTTAAAAGAAAATAGCTTCAGTTTCAAAATATATTTTATTTTTCGACATAAATTTGTTCAACGAAGTTCAACACACTTTGTCTTAACGTTTCTCCATCTTCTCAATTTTCTCTCAGAAGTGAACTTCTCAAAATAGCTGTTTACGATTTTTATCTCCTCTTTATTCGATTAAAATCGCTTTTTTAGCTAGAAAAACAACTTTCATTCATTAGGAAACATTCTTTTATGGATTTTCTTCACTGTTTGTTTTTCTAAGAAAATCAATTGAATTACACTTTATAATCTTATTTTATCTATTTAGCTTTTACTCACTTTGTTTGGCTTAACTTGCAGACAAAACATTAATGACGCTATGACTTAAGTGCGTTACTAAAAAGAATAGAACTAAATATGACGATATATACACACAACTGTCAATCTCTCCCTCAGCGAATACATGAACTAGTAAGTTAGTCTTCAAACTACCTTTGTGTCTAACAAAAAATCTTAGTTTTAAAAATAAGCTTACTTTCTTTTAGCCGTGTCCCAACAAGCAGCGATTATATGAGAAACCACGTAATCGGCAGGTACAATTTCTGCTACACATTCAGAATTGCAATGTAAACTACGTAACAAACCTAAGCCAGCGCTAAACACTACGCCTGACACTCCATAGATGTTGTTGGTCCATCCAGGCACTGGCTCAGTTGCCGTTGTCATTACAATCGACGGACGTACAATACAAGTCGGTATACCGATGCTATATTGACGTACGGTCTCTTCGGCAATTGCTTTTGTAAACGTGTATACGTTTGGCCATTGATTTATTAAACTATAATTGTCCGATTAAAAAAAAACGAGAAAAATAAAACTAAAAAACTAAAAATACTTTGCACTTAACAACAAATTAAAAATGATCAACAAAATAAACTTAAAGAAACAAATATTATAAGAATAAACAAAAATTAAAGTTTGTATTTTACTATATTTTTATTATATTTTTGAAAAAAATAATATATATATGATACAGTAATACTTACAATGGAGTTAAGTTGTCTAGTTGTTTATCATCAAGTATATCAAGCAATGTTAAAAGTTTATCTGGTTCCATGGGCGAAGAATAAAACTTTTCTTCTATACGTTTGTTCACGCAGTGAGAAAATGCAGTCGACACATAAACAAATGCCTGAATACATAAAGAAAAAATAGAAGCATTTTATGTCATAAATATATGGCTTAGCAATACAATATGATTTGACATTTTACTTTTTGAAGAGAAACAATTAACACATACAAAAAATATTTGATTAAAGTATTTATTTCCTGCTATTTACCTTTAAATTCGGCATTTCTTTCGCGAAAAGAAGAAGTTGTTTCGTTGATCTTATATTTATGTTTACTGCATTTCGAATTGGTTCATTAAATCGTACGGTCGCTGCAACATGAAAAATTATATTTGTGTCTAAAAGATGTTCTTGATCTTGTAGTGATAATCCAAGATTTAGCTCGGAACAATCAGCTTCTACGAGTTGTATTTTATCAATAAAGTTAGGTCGTTCTTTTTTCAATCTCTCGTAAACCTAAAAAAACAAATCTATAGTAACTATTATTTTTTTAAATTTAATTATATGTTTCTGTTATTTTTTTATTTTATTTTACTGACAGGGTCATCAAACTGTTCTTTAAATCGTTGTTCAGATGATTTTCCTTTCTTCGACCTCATAATCATGTATATCTTTTTTAGGTCCGGGCAACACCTTGAAACATCGTGATTTAAATAGTTTGTTTTGCTTTTGCTCATAAGTACAAAAAACTGAAGTAGTAAGGAAAAATAGAAGTATCCTAATACTTTGAAGCAAAATGACTATTTGTAGTCACGATTGTAATCTAACAGTTGAGAATGCTTGATTGGTCACTTTGTTTTTTACTTAAAGTTTTTTGTGTTTTTTCGGTTAATGCGGTTTTTTTCTCTTTCATCGCGATCTTTGTGTATCGTTCTTAGTTGTATGACAAAGCAGATGGGAGAGAGAGCAGTGTTCTATTTGCTTTGCTACTATAGTCATGCTGTTTCTCTCTCTTTCTCTCTCTCATATATATATATATATATATATATATATATATATATATACAGGGTGTCCGACAATTACTTTAACATCTCTCGTAAGCAAATAGAAGGAGTAAAGTCGAAAGTCGAAAAGTCCTGAACCATTTTTTTCTATTACATATAATGAAGGAGTAATTATTGAATAAATCAAGCCAATCAGCGCCGACCTTTAGCCGAACGCACGTCAGTGAACCACACGTCTGGTGTGCGTGAGCGCTCCGCGCGGCTCACTGAGGTGAGCCCGGCTAAAGGTCGGCGCTGATTGGCTTGATTTATTCAACAATTACTTCTTTACTATATGTAATAAAAAATGGTTCATGACTTTTCGACTTAGTTTTACTCCTTCTACCTGCCTACGAGAGATGTTAAAGTAATTGTCGGATACCCTGTATATATATATATGTATATATATGTATATATTTTGTTATATACACATAAAATTTTTTATGCAATGTACAGATAAGTACAGATAAGTGAATAATATCAATTTTTCAATGTTGTTAAAAACAAAATCTTATAATAAAAATTTATGAAGAATGTTTTTTTATTAGGTGCTCTGATAGGAAAACATTTACAAAATTATGTGACGAAATCTTGCACTAAAATTGTAATTTGCAATTATACAGATATATTTTAGGAAATAGATGTAAAAACATTGATCTTTTATCAAATATTTGTAGTTGTTTGCAAAATTACTTTCCAAATACTATTTCGACAAAAGAATAACGATATGGCGAATCTTAGCAGTATATTTGCAAAATTAATTTCAAAAAGAAATTGTCCAATAATTGAGAAAAAAATTTCAGCTATGTAATGTTTAAAATATGTAGAGAAATATAATTGCATATGAAGAAATCAACTTAATTCATGTATATATTTATGGAAATGCATAACGACTTTTTCGAAATTTTTAAAAATATTATTTACAAAATTTTATTTCGACAACTGTTGCGTTATGACGAATCATCTTAGTGCAATCATTGCAGGATCGTCGTTATTCATGATGCCATTTTTGTGCAATATTTTCACAATTTGTCTATTAGGGTACTTATATGTGTACTTTAATGAATAGAATTATAGTACGTTCACAATGCATTGGTAATTTTTATATTAAAATACTTACCGTAATAACTTTTCTATTAGAAGTATACCAAGAAATCCAGAACCACCAGTTATGAGAATGTTGCTACCAGCAAAGAATTGAGGAATTTCAGCTTGGCAATTCACTTTGTTATTGTCCGGAGATTCGGACATACTCAATAAGTCATCGATATAAGAAGTGCTTATAAGTGACATTTTGATTATTTTTCTAAATGTTTAGGTTTTGTCTGATTTCACTTTTGTCACAAAATTGTTATATAAAAATTTACAATTTTTAATCACCGTCAATACTTGATCACTTTTTTAAAAAATAAGAATTTGTTTTTTCTGAAAGGTTAGATCCCGACTTCTCGTCGGGACGCAGCCGAATAAAGAATTAAAGCAAGCGGATGTATTTATATGGGCGCTACGATGCTACGTATGCACAACTACATTTACACTAACTTGTCATGAAAATAAACAGCTATAAAAAAGGCAAGCTCAAATAATGTAACTTAAAGATAAGAATTCTTACTTAACATTGCATAATATTGACACACACGTCAAAAAATTGTTCAAGGACACTTGTAACGTAACACGTGTAATAGAAAGAATCTATTGCTTTTTACTGTTCATAATGGCAGCGACAATATATACATTGATACGTCTTACGTATTAAACAACAAATTAAGTTGATGAATATTTTATACTAATTATGTAAATAAAATATGATAATTTAGGACATTGTTTTCGTAAGTCTCAGTCGAGACTAAGCCTTTTCATGCATATAATTTACATTATTTTTATGTAAATATTTTAAAATGTACATTTATATTCAGTAAGTAAAGATAAATTAAACATTAAACCGACCAAAGAGTAAAGGTAATACATACAAGTCAATACAAAATAACTTGAGAAAGAAAACTAAATGTAGTTACAAAAATAATTCACATTTGAAACACTTTAGTGAACACAAACTCGAGTAAAATTAAAACAGTATTATTTATTTGAAGTTCATTAAACGTCAACTCCATATCACATTGCTAACGGAAAAAAAATATTTTTGTACAGTAGTTAGTTTTTCTAACGTATTGTGATAATTTCGGTATACTAATTTAGAAGTATCTTCTTGTAACGTGTAACAAAATGATATTTAACACTGATCAAGATAACTAATCTTATTATTTTCACTGATAAAAAATAAAAATAAAACTAACAATTATTTCTCTTTTAGACCTCTCTCTATATATTTTTGTTTATATTTTTATATTTTATATATTATATTATATTTATATTATATATTTATATTTAAACTATTTATATTTTTATTTATAATTAATTCACATCCGCAAAACAATATTCACAAATGTCTTCCTGACAATTTTGATATAGAATAATTCACAACTTGGCAAAGTATTTTACTTTATAAAGCGTCACATTAAAGTGGATAGCCTTCACGAAAGACTGACTTATATAAAGTTCCGAACCCACTTTTTCCACAACAAGATTTGTGTAAACTGGTTTTGCGATTATATAAAGATATAGGGTATCTCATTTTAATCAACTCAGAGACTTTCTTCTCAAATTATTAATGATGCAAAAACCTGTTTCTGAGGAAGGACAGTTTCAAGGAGAACGACAGTTTAAACGTTATTTACTTCTAAAAACGCCAAAAGATGTGCAAATGTCCTCTATTTTCTCGAATAGAACCGCAATTTTTCGAACGTCTACGATTGTAACTCATTTCAAGACAATTGTAATGATCATAGACATTCAAGATCACGGACATAAGAAAAGTGAAAAACCAAAAAATTTATTATTTTACATGTGAATGCGCGTTTGCGAGTAGAAAATTGGCATTATTTTTTTGAAATTTTATATCCAATCATCTGTACCATTATTTTTTTTAAACTTGATACTCAAATTTTGTATACAAATGTAACATATGTCTTATATACTTATAGTGTCTAAATTTAGTGTTACCTACTAAAGTGGCTAAATCAGTTTTCTAAAAAATTTAGAATTAAATCCTAAATTTATTTTTTAAATGAGAATCATTTGATTTTTAATCAAGTATTTGGCTAAATTATGACACGCAATTATTTTTCTTTTTTTTCTTGTCTAGTGTCAAGAATTGAAACTTTGTTATTGAATTATTTAAAAAAATATAAATTTCAAAGTTTTTCTTTTTAAAGAAAATATAATTATATTTCTCAGTTTAGAGAGAGAAAATATAATTCTTTAAAAAGAATATAATAATATATATATATATATATATGCTCCTGATCATAACGCAAATCGTATTCGTGACAAGCAAACTTTAGCGTTTTTGTTTGTTAATCTTTTTATATCTGTGACTTTAAATGTTTATAATATGATCATTGTATTTGTCTTAGAGTGAGTTACAATTACATATTGATATTTCATTTAAAAAAAATAAAGATAAGTTTTATCTTTTTTTCATTTCCACTTAAAAATAAAACAATTTGACTAAAATATGTAACCTCTCAAAACCGTTTTACTTTTATGTAAAACATTGTTTTTTGTAATAGTTTTAGAGAAAATATTGACTGAATTGGTCAAAATAAGATATCTCTTATATATATATATATTGAAAATACATATTTATATTTATAAAAAACAGTAGGACGTTTATATTATTTATATTATACATGGATTTGATACTGTAAAAGATATGTGTGACTGACAAAGGTGTTTTTGTTTTTGTCGAATATTATTCGTCAAGAAAATAAAAGACCAGGAGAGTAAACACAAAATAACAACTGACTAATTGTAAGACAGAAGACAATGATGTGGTGTATGCCTGTGTATATATAATTATTGTTTAACATTCTTATTTAAAGTAAAGTTAAAATAAAATAAAGAATATACAATAAGAAAACTTTTGTGCTACACATAATTTATTATTTACAACAATAGAGATTTTATCAAGCCGGAATTTGTCAAATGCTAAGAAATATATCGTTACATTTAATTTTATAGAATTATGAAAAGAACATATAAATTTAATATTTTAATGAGAATATTTCGTAAGTGTGATATATACAATTTTTCTTAAATAGAAAAAACCGATGCTTAGATCAGTCAATGTAATGAAACCAGCTTCTATCGATACTGTAAATAGTCATCGATATTCTCAGTTTTTTATTTTTAGCTTTCAAAATATCAAAGATTTAAATCTTGGCTATTAATGTAAATTTTTTGTTGCAAAACTTGTCGTTATTTGTTAAAATTATTTCTAAATATCATATCGCGTAGTTTTGTTGCCGATTGTGTGATTTAACGTGATTTTCTGCGCTTGGTGAGCAATTTTAGTTGCTATTAGCGCTCATATATATAACTACGCGATTCGATCTATTCGTGTGTACTCTACCACACTATTCTAATACTAATTCTAAAACATATATCGACTCCAGTATATGTTGACATAGCTCTAAAGTTTAATTGCATGGTAATGATTTATACATGTATAAAAACTGATTAAGGTATTTAAAAAAAATTCTGCATGAAAAGAACTATATTACACGTGTCAGTGTGTTTCAATTCTGAGTATTACGGAAAAGTGTTGTTGTATAAGTTTTATCGCAGTTTAAAATATATATAATTTTAATGTTTTTATCTCTCTTTCTCTCTTCGTTCAGTATTATATACATGTATGTTATAAATAATGAAATAAAATAATTTAAAAAAGAGTATAAAATAATGTAAAAATAATATAAATACTTAAACAGTATAAAATATAGAAATTAAATAAACAATAAATAAAACATTAAGCAATATATATAATTGCGCTTTATTATGTTTAATTAATTTTTGAACATGTGATCTTCTGTTATAAAAATAAGTAGTACTACGATTAAAATTTAGAATTGCAGATACACGAATAGTTTTTTCTTAACTCTTTGCCAAGGAAAGCTTATCGTGTATAGCAGAACACAAAACCTTTATAAATACACGTAAACACGAGTGAACTTTTCGATTATCGATAAAGTGCTATTCTTACTTTAGAATTTAACGGTAGAGTAGACATTTATAGTAGACATTTATAATACTATATATCTCAATACTATACATCAATTCATAGTAGACATTTATAGCAATACTATACATCTATTGTATAATAATTATATATACTCTATATACTTTATATGCAAACACATAGTTGTTTATACAATCGCTTAATAACACATATTATTTATATAAATTACATTAAAAATAAATTAAAAATAAAATAAATTTAAATAACTTAGATTAGACAATTTACTTTTTTATCTACTGTAGTTTAATTAACATCAAGAAATGAAATATATTGTTACGGTCGCCCGGTATTAGTTATAAACGCCGTTCATTTAGAAAAAAGAAGACAAGAGTGTTGCCCCGGACGACAGTTCTGTTTGATAGATTTGGTTTGGAGTTTGCGGCGGTTCGGACGCGCGACGCTCGCGTTACCTACTGAAATTACGTTTTTTGTACGTGTTACTCTTTTGTTAATAAAGAATTACGAGAAAAAATCCCCGTGTTTCTTTCGACTTTGGTCGTGACGTCTTAAAAACATCTCACACGAATTTATTACGTTTTTTTATTATTTACCTTCAAACATATAAAGGTACATCCAAAAAAAACAAACTATGTACACATTATAAATATATTTATATACATATACATATAATTTATATTTATATATGTATATTGTGTGACGTAGCGCCTTATACGAGAGGTCGCGACACGCAGCGCCAAACAGCTAATGCGCAGTATCGATTTCCGTTACGCTGTTTTCGTACGCCGTGTACAACAAAGTTTTTACTTTTAATACAAAAAAATTGATATTATTATACTTAATTTAATACAACTATAAAAGAAAAGTCATAAGACACATCCACTTACGATCACGCTCGTAAAACAAATATTAAACAACTTACATAGTTTTACATCTAGATAACTCAACATGATGTCACATATGATTACAATTTCTCACATTCTTGCCAATTTGTACTTTTTTCCGAGAATTTTGAATAAGTTAGAAGTAAGAATACCTAAGAAGTAAGACGAGATTTAAATCCGGTTATGTAACCGGTTCAGCCACTTGTCGGTTTAGTGCAAGTATCTTATGTTCTTTTTGGATTTCATTGTTTTTTTCGTATTTCATTAAAATCAATCATTGCAGTAAAGTTTGAAGTATCACTAAGAAAAATTCAGAAGAGACGTGAGAGTACTGTGAAGAATTATTCTTTTATATTTATGATATAATGTGTATTACATTTGCTTTTCAAATTCTTCTTCTTTTCAAAATTATTGGCATTATGACTTTATTGTCGCTTAAAAAGTTTTTTCAGATTTAAAAATAAATAAAAATTACACGCGAATTCATATTTGGCAGATGAGATGGCAATTAAAAGCTTAACTTGTAAATTTTGTCCTTTGTAAAGTGCAAGAGTTAAAGTGTGGGCTAAGTTGCAAAAATCATAACGTTTACTTTGGTAAATTGTCACAGAACATTATGTGCGAGCGTGCAGAACGTTATGTAATGAGCCAGCGTTTGACATTTGTTCTTCTAAAGAATAAATCTTCACTGTCAGCAGTAATGTATTATCACATTTATGCGTCCCCGAGAAAAAATAGAAAATTATATGATCATGTAAGATTATATGTAGATCGGATGTAATTTTGTATGATCGTATAAACTTTTATATAAGTCGAATATGATTTTATATAAGTTGGATATGATTTTATATGATCGTATAAAATCAGATCCGAAATTTGGCGCGAACTGATTTTATATATAACCATATATAAATATAAGAAATCATGTACTATTGTACATAATTTTATGTATTTATACATGATCATATAAAATCAGATCGCGCCAAATTTCGGATCTGATTTTACACGATCACATAAAATTATATCCAACTTATATAAAATTATATTCGACTTTTATATAAAAAGTTTATACGATCATACAAAATTACATCCAATCCACATATAATCCTATATGTGATCACATGATTTTCCATTTTTTCTCGGGTCGTTTGGGATACTTATCGCTCTTCGTACATGTTAAGAGAGTATATGTAAATTTATATATAATTATATATATATATATATATATATATATATATATATATATATATATATATATATATATATATATATATTTTAATTTATATTTTATTATTTTACTTTTATAAAATATATTTACTAACTAGAATACATTTTTTTAGTGAAAAAAGATTTACATTTTTTTATTGTTGTAAAAAATAACATATTTTAATTAATAAATGATTTTTTTCGAGGATCCCTAATACTATTACTATTTTAAGAAAGTATTTCAACGTAAAAAAAAAGTATGGATATAAAATGGTATACTGAATATGTGATATGCACATTTACTTAAAATTAAATATTGTTGCTTAAATAAAATAAACAAATCTTTCCATTAAAGCAAAAGAGAGAGAGAAAGAGAGAGAGAGAGTTTCAAGAAAATATATTTTCTTGATTTAAAGCAACTTTTTCTTTAGTCTCACACAGACATAACGTCCATTAGATATCTGATAGACGTTCATGATTCAATATAACGTCTAATAAATATTTATAAAATGTTCCATGTATGGGATAGAAACAAAATTTAAATAAAATATATAACATTAAGAAATATCGTACAAACTAACATTGTATTGTATGTATCTGTATACAATAACAATAAAGAAAGAATAATACATAATTTGTTTTGTGTTATAATTTAATCATCTTAACAGAGCATGTGTGAATAATACGCAGCAATAATACTTGAGAGTTAATTTGCATTGAAATAAAATGATCTTCGTGGAAGATGATAAAAAATGTTATCATTATATGAGTAAAAAACGCTTGTTACATTTGCAATTTTAGATGACACTTGTTTGCAAGAGCTTAGCTAGAAGCAAATAAAATTTAAATAATAAATCATTTATACATGTTTGATATTCAATATTATCAATGTATAGTACTATATAACACGATTAAGACTAATAGTTTTATATACATTTATTCTGTTCATACATTATAAATAAATTTGTTTATAATTTACGTATAACATTAATCAGACTTATTTTTTCAAATAGTTTTGATGTTTTAAGGTTTGTTTTTACACATACATACATACATACATACATACATACATACATATAATACATACACACACACACACAAAACAAGTGGTGAGTACGTTGCAGTTGCATTAACGCGGCAATATTGCATTCAACCGTAACGCATTACAAAGTGACTCTTTTGATACAGCCGATCAAACTAGCAATTTGTCTTACCTTTTAACACAAAAACAACAAGATACAATGACTTATTTGTAAAAGTATTCTTTGCGTCATTTAAATTTTAAATGCTTATGCTTAAAAAACAATTAATACAATGCAGTGTCGCAATAACATGAGAAGCAGACGCATTGGTATCGGAATAAAAACTATTAAATGAATATTATTGCAATTTAAAACAACTGTGACATAAAACAAGCTTATTTATTTAAATATGTTTCTAATATTAACTTAACTATATATATAGAGAGAAGTAAATATATTATATATATACAGAATGGAGAAGTACCTTTTTGTCTACCTTTGAAATATTTATGCTATTTTTAGAAATATGAAAATATTGTTAACTACAAAGTTGTATGATATCGAGAGAGTCTATAATAATAATTTTTTTGTGAGTGAAAGCGTTTCGAAAATGTCAAGATCAACTCTATTTTTTAAATGGCATATTGTATTTTGTTTATGCTTAGTGTAGTAGTGAATGTTGGAGGATTTCAACTATAATACACATGATAATTAAATAAAAAAATAAAATTTAAATGATTCGTACGTTATGAAAAATGCTTAAAGTGATATCTAAGATTTTTTCGCAAAATTTTTTTATAGGAGAATATTAAATTAAATATTTTAGTTTTGAAAAACTTTTTAAATCTCCTATAATAATAAAGAGAAATAATAAAGAAAAAAGAATAAATTATTTGTCGGTGCATAACTTATTTTTAATTTAAAACATCTATAAACATATTTAGTCTTTTACGTATGAAACAAAAGAAAAATTCTTGGCTTTAGCACTTCTTTATTTCTGTTTTTTTTATTATACATATTTATAAGAGTTTTTTACATAAGTCATAAGATTTCATGGTTTTTTATAATATATTTTCTTGAGTACTGACATTTATCTTGTCCGATTTGCAGTCATTCGAGAAAAAAATAGTCTCTCTCATGCGAATTCTCGCAATGTTAAAGATTAACGTTCAATTTGAAAGTTAAAACACGGTGTTAACTCTTTTGGACACAGTTTTTATTTATTCTTTAAAAAATACTTTAATAGAATACATATGTAATATGTTCAAAATTCAAGGATTACAATAATTTCAATTGCGCAAAGAAAATTTTCCATTTTCAACTAATTTACATTAAAACTTGAAAACTAACTGTCAGAGATTTTATTATTATTAAAACATAAACACAATTAGATTTTTGACGTCTTGAAGAATATGTAATAAAAGCAATGTTTCTCTAAGGCTCGATTTCTTCATACCTTCCGATAGCTATCTTCTAGATAAAGATGTACAAAAAGATATACTTTATTTTTTAGATAAAATTATCGAGAATTTATTAGAGATAAAGAAATTGAGCATAAGTAACATTGTATTTTTTGATATGGTGCTCCGTTTATTTGACATCGATGATAGTAAGTATCTGATATCTGCAAACGTTCCTTTCACCGAATGTCTACATAAATGTTCTATCTCCTTCTTCTTTATTAAACAAATAAAAATAAATTGTAACTTGCATTATCAACGCAACACTACGTATGCAGGCACAAGTGATTGCTACAGCTGGTGGCTGCAAAGAGGAGGATCGTTTGACTGGGGATTTCCTCTCGAACGACAGTATAAAGAGAACTGCACACAAGCCTCACTAGCACTACTATACAATTGAGAAAGAGCGAAACTACTAGTGAGAAATTGTATCTACGGGAAAAGAGCTTGTTAAGACAAATTTTCAACGAATGTATATAATATAATTTTTTTCACGTAGTTTATCCACATTTTCAATATTGAATTCGATAGTGAAATCCACTTTGTTTTGACAATAATTTGTTCTTTTTTTTTTAAGTTCCGTTATATATATTTCGTAAAATTTTCTGTTACAATACGATACTTGTGAAAAGTGATTGTTTTAATTTAAAAACAAAGCGGGGAGCGACGTCACGTTGTTGTGCGGATGTTTATTGCTTAATTCTAGTGTATTTCCTACATTATAGCAGACTAAAAGTAAGTATAATTTTGTTGTTTTACAAAAAATATTATAAACAAAGTGTATAATAAGTAGAATATATTTTTATACATTAGAAATTAAAGACATCTTTTATAAATAAATCTCAAAAACACGTTTGACTGAGCAATATTAATTTAAAAAATTTTTTTTTGGAATATTTTATTATATTACTATTATTATATTCTTAATCTTTTATAAATAAATCTCAAAAACACGTTTGACTGAGCAATATTAATTTAAAAAATTTTTTTTTGGAATATTTTATTTTATTACTATTATTATATTCTATATATATATATATATATATATATTATTATTTATAATTATTATATATTTTTGTGAAAAAATTTCAAAATCTTTTCTTCACCGGAAACGTGTATTTAAATTTGCTTTTTTATAGAGAATAAAATAGNTTTATTATATTTTAATATTTTATTATATTAATAATTTTATTGACTATATCTTTTTATTGAAATGAAGACAATTAAATTATTGAATGTTCATTTCTTGTCTGTGTGTAAATCTAAAAAATCTTCACATGATTCACTTTGAGTAAAGTCAATTCCACTAAAACTTCAAGTATTTCCTTATATAAAACATATAGTAATTTTAATACATTAAAATTAATTATATCAGTTTGAAAACACATTTACGTATCTAGAATTGTTCCCGTACATATTCGATCATCTGAGACACCTGATTATTTAAATACATATCATTTAAATGCATACTTTGTATAGAGATATAAGTGATGGACAGAAAAAATCAAGCAATGGTTTTACAAAAACTTTATCATTTTTTCAAATGCATATAAGTTTTTTTTTCAATAATACAAGTTTCAAACTAATTTTGAAAAGTAAAACAAATAAGCAATTAGAAATGTTTGCAAAACTAATTAACTGTAAAAATCTTGTTAAGCGCAGTTTTGTAAGTACTGTATTATACGATGATTTTTCAATAATAAGATTTTTGTAGTGAGAAGTTTAGATATTATAAAAATTGTTTGTATTTTCAACATAATCAACCTCTTTTCATTTTTCACTATTATTGTAGTTAATATTATCATTTCTGTATAACAAAGAATTACACAATTATTTTAGTAGTTATATTGAAAAGAACTTTTATACTGATAATGATATTTCGTATAAGATTTTGTTATGTCTCTTCTGAGTTATCTCTTAAACTTTGATCCAGTTCTTTCTAAGATTATCGGAAACACACACACACATGTATTGACGACAATACTATACACGAATCTCAATTTTAAATTTAAGAAATTCTAGAATCAGGAGGTGCACGGAAGTAATAAACTTTTCGCCAAGTTTACTTGCAATACTTAAATTTGCGCGCATAATCTGGAGTGCTCTGTGCCTTTTTCCCCAGATAGCATAAAAGTTTGATGTAGAACATTTGCTGATATGATTGTAAAAATTGCTATATTGTTCATTTTTTGAGCGAACATAGCTTTCGGTCTATCGTCAAATATTTCTCAATTTGCAGAAGTAAAGAGTTGTCGATTCTTATGTTATCAGATATATTGTCACGTTTGATACAAATTAAAAAGTAAAAAATTGCATTTATCGAAATTTGTTATCGTCATTTCGATTTTTGTTTTTTATAATTTTGTTTACACCCAGCAACATTGACGATAACAAATTTGACTATGAGAAAACTTTAAACTCAATGTTATTAGAAACTTAAAGTTCTTTGTGTATTATAATCATTTAGTATAAAAATTATCAAGCAAAATAATGTATGTTGCACTTATGCAAAAATGTTACTCGCTTCCGATTATATATATATTTTTACATGTATCTATCATATATATATATTTTTCTTTACCTCTATTTCTTTGTATATGATAAAAATTTTATTTTTATATAAGAATACAAATAACTAAAATTGACAGAGATGTTTACATATTGTATAGTTATACAAAATTGGAGATTAAAACAAAATGTGTTTAAAAAATTTTGACACACCTGCGGATTAATTAATCTAATACAAAAATTTATTTATTATTTTGCAAAATTTGCAATATTTATTGAGTTATTGATAAAGTAGTAGTGTCAGTCAATGAACGCGTGGAAAACGATAGTCCAAATTCTGTAAGCGTATAATTTTCAATTGTAAAGAAAAATAGCTTATCTCATGCAATTTCTTAGCAACGAAATGTGAAACAAGCAAGCGAACAGTATGTGACACAGCTTCTTGTGATCAGCTAATTTTTATGGCGATACAACTGTAAATCATACATGTCTACAGAGTATTTTCCACACTCATGGGCTCACATTAATTAATTAATGACACAACAAATATTACCACTTTTGCAAAATAATGACGTGACGGTTTTGTTCGGATTCAATCTATCTTTACACTTCGGCTGTGTTAAAATTTTCCAGACATCTTGTACATACACGTAATCGCAACACTATAATCCTGTGATTATTGTATATGATTTAAACACATATCACGCGTTCCCTTTCGTAAATGATAATACGATCACGCACTCTCTTGTCATCATATGTAAATCATGTGCAAAATTAAACTGTCTTAAGGTCTGTTCAAGAAGGAAAAGTAAAAAATGTTTGATGGCAAAATCAATTAATTCTGTTTCGTTAACAGCAAAATTTAGAGAAAGCATAATATTTCTGAAGAAACCTACAAAGATCATATAAATTGTACTAAATAAATTTTACATGAGTGTGTTCAAACGATATATTAAATTTATATGTAAACAATGTTGTATGATAAAAAATAGTGACTTGGAAAATATTTATTATTAAACGATATTACACAAAACAAGTTTCTACTAAATTATTTCTTACAAACAGAGACATAAATAATCCTCAACGTGCTATAAATTATAGAGCCGGCTGATAGAGCCGGTTTATTCGACCCGTACTTTGTATTTTCGGACGTAAATAATGTGATTCCTTATAAGTAATGACTATTTATTATTGAACCTACGTCACACAAAAATCCGTTGACAACAAGATTATTAATTGTTTTTTGGTCATTATATTTTGTTTACAATGATTTTAAGTGTTTTTAAGTAGTGATATAACGGGTAGTTTATACGAGAGTCGAATTAATTAATTTAGACGTTTAAAAATTATATATTTTGTTAGAGATGTGCGAATCAAAGATTTTTTATGTCGAATCGAATCGAATCGAATTAACGAATTTTCATTCGAATCGAAGCGAATCGAATTACAGTAGACTCCCGCTATAGATTCGCTGTAGGACGAACATTCTCGGAAACAGAGGTGCCAG